ATAATGAAGTGCACAGATAAATTATTTATAATAAACACTACAGTATTCCATTAAAAAATAAGAATTTTCAATTTTGATTTCATGGTGACTTTAATGGATTTTACTGTTGTTTAACAACATACTATGGAAGCCTGTGTCCGCCACTGAATTAAAAAAAAAAAAAAAGGTAATTGCTTTTTTTCTCAGAATTGCGAGATATAAACTAGCAATTCTGATTTTTTTTTTCTTTTCAGAATTGTGTGATATAAACTCACAATTGCAACTTATTAAGTCAGAATTGTGAGTTATAAACTCGCAATTCTGACAACATATCAGTCTTTTTTTCTCCTAAGAACTGGACTTTTTAACTCGCAATTGCAAGTTTATATCTCGCAATTCTGACTTTATTTCTCGAAATTGTGAGTTTATAACTCATAATTGTGAGTTTTATATCTCACAATTTTGAGAAAAAAGTCAGAATTGCGAGTTTATATCTCACAATTATGAGAGAAAAAAGGTGAGAATTGCGAGTTTATATGACAATTCTGAGAAAAAAAGTCAGAATTATGAGATAAAAAGTCGCAATTACCTTTTTTATTCAGTGGTGGAAACGGGCTTCCATAACATGAAAAAAACATAAAAAAAAAAAAAAAAGTTCAGTACTTTTCAGTTATCAAAGTTGCAAGTTGTGAAAATTACATGATCTAGGACCTTTATAGAGTGTGAATCATTATACAGATTGTAAGCCTATTGTAAGTATATAGTTTTCATCCGTGTTAAATTCAATATGGCATCTAACCTGATTAAAGGGATAGTTTACCCCGATATAAAAATTCTGTCATCATTTAACCTGTATTAGTTTCTTGCTTTGGTTGAACATCAAAGAAGACATTTTGAAGAATACGGGTAATCAAACAGTTTATGGTCCCCACTGACTTCCACAGTATGGAAAAATAATACAATGGAAATATATTGGGGACCATCAACTGTTTGGTTACACACATTCTTCAAAATGTCTTCTTTTATGTTCTGTAGAAGAAAGAAATTCATACAGGTTTGGAACAAATTGAAGGAGAGTAAATGATGACAGAATTTACATTTTGGGGTGAAATATTTAATTATTTTCTTAGTTTTTATATTTTTTACATTGCACAGCTGTAACATAATTAAAAGTGAAAAAGGATAACACAAATGTCATTTCATAGAATAAGACTGTAACTTGCAGGAACAGACACTCAAAATGCTAAACTCATGCTGTTGTCAAAATAATGGAGTGCAAATTCAAGGAGAGAGAGAGAGAGAGAGAGAGAGAGAGAGAGAGAGAGAGAGACTGCCTGAATGACTGAGCGCGTCCACCATCAGGTTAACATAAGTTAATTGTTTGCAATGTCCTAAGAGTAATGTTGTCTTAATATCCTAATATCTTTTCAATGTTTAGGGGTAACATACTCCCTCATAACTGGTGTCAGTGCTATAAAGTGAAGCATCAGCTTCAGCTTTTCCCCTGTTGTTTATCCCAGCGTTTACCCCTCACGTCACTAGCTCCGCCCTTGCGCCATAGCTCGTGACCAGAAGAGAAGATGAGTCGTTTTGAGGGGGAGGGGAGGTTAACGTTTTTGATTAAAGATTACGAGGGTACATGAATTAAAAAAAAATAATGAAGTGCACAGATAAATTATTTATAATAAACACTACAGTATTCCATTAAAAAATAAGAATTTTCAATTTTGATTTCATGGTGACTTTAATGGTTTTACTGTTTTTTAACAACATACTATGGAAGCCTGTGTCCGCCACTGAATTAAAAAAAAAAAAAAAGGTAATTGCTTTTTTTCTCAGAATTGCGAGATATAAACTAGCAATTCTGATTTTTTTTTTCTTTTCAGAATTGTGTGATATAAACTCACAATTGCAACTTATTAAGTCAGAATTGTGAGTTATAAACTCGCAATTCTGACAACATATCAGTCTTTTTTTCTCCTAAGAACTGGACTTTTTAACTCGCAATTGCAAGTTTATATCTCGCAATTCTGACTTTATTTCTCGAAATTGTGAGTTTATAACTCATAATTGTGAGTTTTATATCTCACAATTTTGAGAAAAAAGTCAGAATTGCGAGTTTATATCTCACAATTATGAGAGAAAAAAGGTGAGAATTGCGAGTTTATATGACAATTCTGAGAAAAAAAGTCCATCTAGACATTATTTTTGTACATAATTATGTTCAATCTGTACAACAGAGATTCATTCATTAGGACAAATTCATTCAGTACTATTCCCCCCACCCCACGCCAAGTCCCAAACTCACTGAAATCCATGTTTCAGTCCTTTTGCAGCAATGATTTCATATCAAGTGATGTTCTTCAAACATAAAGTCATTAATAAATAAAAGAGAGCGCAAATGGAAACGATACAGTTTGAAAAAGTCCACATCCTCCACGACAAGCTCTCAAAGTCATCTTTTCCTTCTCAATTTGTGTTTTTTTTTTGTTTTCCTATGGTCTTCATGAATCTGAGTGCAAACATCCTAGAGTTGCGAGTGTGTACTGATGTCTAGTATTTTAAGTGTGAATCTGTTCCAAACCTAGTAAGCTACCTCATTGTTTAAAGCATGATACACACTTTTAAGACTCTTTTGTTTAAAGACACTCTCTAAGCAAAATCAAGGCAAAAATTGTGTGCACCAGCCAGGTTTCCTGATTCGTAACCTCATAAGTAACGCACTTCATGAAGAAAGCTTATTTCAATCAAAAATAAAAAGGTAATTGTGTCTTTTGATATCACAATTCTCACTTTTTTCTCACAATTTAGAGTTTATATCTCACATATTGGACTTTAACTCAATTCTGAAAAAAAAAGTCAGAACTGTGAGATATAAACTCAATATTGCAATATATAAACTCGCAATTTGAGAGAAAAGTCTTATTATGAGTTTAAAACTTGCAATTGCGAAATAGAAACTCACAATTCTGAGAAGAAAAGTCTGAATTGTGAGATATAAACTCACAATTGCAAGAAAAAAAAAGTCAGAATTGTGTTTTGTTTCAGCCATGGAATAAAAAATTAAAAAAGGTAATTGCGACTTTTTAATCTTACATTTTTTTCTTGCAATTACTAGTTTATATCTCGCAATTTGGACTTTTCTTGCGAGTTTGCGAGTTTATATCTCACAATTCTGAGAAAAAAAGTCAGAATTATGAGATAAAAAGTCGCAATTACCTTTTTTATTCAGTGGTGGAAACGGGCTTCCATAACATGAAAAAAACATAAAAAAAAAAAAAAAAGTTCAGTACTTTTCAGTTATCAAAGTTGCAAGTTGTGAAAATTACATGATCTAGGACCTTTATAGAGTGTGAATCATTATACAGATTGTAAGCCTATTGTAAGTATATAGTTTTCATCCGTGTTAAATTCAATATGGCATCTAACCTGATTAAAGGGATAGTTTACCCCGATATAAAAATTCTGTCATCATTTAACCTGTATTAGTTTCTTGCTTTGGTTGAACATCAAAGAAGACATTTTGAAGAATACGGGTAATCAAACAGTTTATGGTCCCCACTGACTTCCACAGTATGGAAAAATAATACAATGGAAATATATTGGGGACCATCAACTGTTTGGTTACACACATTCTTCAAAATGTCTTCTTTTATGTTCTGTAGAAGAAAGAAATTCATACAGGTTTGGAACAAATTGAAGGAGAGTAAATGATGACAGAATTTACATTTTGGGGTGAAATATTTAATTATTTTCTTAGTTTTTATATTTTTTACATTGCACAGCTGTAACATAATTAAAAGTGAAAAAGGATAACACAAATGTCATTTCATAGAATAAGACTGTAACTTGCAGGAACAGACACTCAAAATGCTAAACTCATGCTGTTGTCAAAATAATGGAGTGCAAATTCAAGGAAGGCAGGGTTTGTGTCTCTTTGACCTCTGTTCTAGAGTCAGACTACAGAGTCTGTTCTGTAAGACATCACTGCAGTTCCTTACAAGCCCAGACTGATAACATCTCCAGAACACTGACCATGAGACGGTGGCTGGGAAAGTGAATCTGAGGTGAAACGCACTGCAGTGGTACAGATTACTAGAAAAGAGCAAACAAAGGCCAAGACTAATGTCTCTCACTAACAGCGGTGCCTTTCCAAACCTATAAATAAACATAGGGACTAGTTTGACTGTGTGTGATCTCTGAAAGTGGTTTGGCTGCCAGACGACTCTTATCTGGCAGGGCTAATTGGCTCCTAATCACATTACAGATTGCATAGATAACAAATTGAGGCTATATAATGAATAATTAATAACAGAAACAGAGCACAATTCGCAAGAGAGTGAGAATAATTAACCCTTCACCTCCCATCCATATACATACATGCTCTGTTGCAAAACCTGAGGTCTCTCGCTGTCTGCTGTCTACATAGGCAGCATCCTAACAGTAAAGGAACCTCATAAGTGTCTGATATAGAATGTTCTATATAGACAACTCCATGTGTATTACAAATATCGCTCTGCATTCGAAACTTGATTTGCAATTGATTTAAATGACAAGATTGACGTAAAACTATACACATGAAAATAAGCAAAACACATAGTAAGTATGTAATATATATATATTATACTAGCCACCAAAAATACAATGACCTGGTGACCTTTCGCGATAAAATCAAGGATCACTGGCCTAAGTATAGAACAGACAAAGAGAGAGACAGAATGTCTCCAGCCCTAAAGAAATTCTGCCGTGCAAGACCCATAACAGTGATGTGCACTTCACCTTGTTCTCATCAAAAACATTGAAGACAAATGAGGCGAACTTGGTGGGGTCGCCAAAGGGGAAGAACTGTTTGTAGATCTTCTGGAAACCTGCAGCATCAAGCTGACCACTCGGGCAATCTTTTATGAAGCCCTTGTACCTGGAAGAGGGGAAAAAACATAATTTCATACACTGTCTTTGAAAAGTGGGCAAGATGTTACAGAAGACTGTCGAGCAGTCTATGCTCATCTGTGAGCACAGCACCTGACTGATCTCCATGCTAACAAAATAGGCTTATGTCTGTATACTCTGCCTCCTGCTTCATAAGATATCTGAAGTCTGTTCTCTTGCTGGCAGTTAGAAATAATTTATAGCTAGATCTGTCAGCTTCCTGAACCCTGCAGTGACTTGAGAATGACATGAAACAAGAATGAAACTTTCACTAAGCAGGTAGCAACTGACGTCTCCTGTCTACTATGCCCTGCTGGTCAAACCTTCTCATCAGAAAAAGCTTTCAAGTTTTCTTTTCCTTATTCCAATAAAAATAACAAAACACTTCATTTATTTTCAGCATGTGCTTTATGCAGCAAGGATGCATTAAATTGATCAAAAGTGACAGTCAAGACATTCCTAATGTTACAAACGATTTAAAAAAATATCACATTCCCTTTCGTGGAACTTCGAACTGCGTACTCTAGGGGTCGCTATGGGGAACGCCTCGTCGTGACCCGTGTCTGAAGCCTACATTGAAAAAACACCAACTTGTTTGGCCGGCGACAGCCATGACGTCACTGCCGTCGCAACTAGTACAGAATAGGCGCCGGTAGCGCACATCATCACTTTCTTCATCTTCACTGACCGTTCTGTTTGAAGCGTGCATTCCAAAAGCAAAGTAAGAGCCTTTTCTTTTCCTACTATGGCGAGCACTAGCGGAGCATTTAGAAAGTGTGTACATCCGTGTCAGCGGTTTCTGACACCCGATGATTCACACGATCTATGCGTTGTTTGTTTGGGTGAGGAGCACGCACGCGATGTCCTCGAGGGGGCAATCTGCGTGCACTGTGAGAGCTTTTCGCTGGAAAAGCTCCGTTCTCGTTTGTCTCTCTTCTCGAGTGGAGAGGGACAACCATCGGTTTCCCGCGGCTCGGGACCTGCTGCTGCTGAGGCACGGAGGAGAATGAGCTCGTGGGGATCTCAGGTGGACCTAGCCGATGAGGCTGAAGGGGGGGTTTCCCTCTTCCGCGCATCGGCGTCGGGCGAGAGACAGCCGCTGGACGATGATATCCTCTCTCTAATATCATCTGATCCAGGGGTCAGTGCTCAGTTGGGCCCAGCCCAACAAGAGCAGGGAATGGATGTGGAGAGTGTAGAAGCCGAGGCTGAGCTTTCCCAGTCCACCTGCCCTGCGTATGGTGAGCTGCTGGAGGTAATGGATCGGGCCACGGCGAGGCTCGAATTACCGTGGAAACGAGCCAGGGAGGTGACGTCGCGAGGTCGCCTCGACGAACGTTATCTCTCTGACCATAGACCTCCAGCTCAAGTGAGCCTTCCTTTCCTTCCTGATCTCCACACTGAGATCGAGAAGGAATGGAAGAGGCCGTTTTCCTCACGCATATATCAGTCTCAGCATACGAGTTATGCGAACATCGAGTCGATGCGCGAAAGCGGCTATGAGATGATGCCCCCGGTGGAAGAGACGCTAGCCAGCTACCTCTCGATGATCCGGTCAGAAAGATCCTCGGAGCAGAGCTCCAGCACAGAGGTCATGGGGGTGAGTACGATCCAAATAACATGATATCTGTATATCGAGGACAGACCGAGATGGCTGTGTGTGTGTAACCTTCTATAGTTCCTTGCTGTGTTTCCCGGGACCTGTACGTTTCTGTCCGTTGCTAGACGCCCTCGATGAGGTGCCGTTGCTGGGTTCAGAAGCCAGGTGCTCTACTTGCAGTAGGCGCATCACTCGTCGACATACTGTATATCCAGACGGTAAGAAAAGCCGGGCTTCGGCTTCATACCTCCTGGATCATGCGGCCGAACACGGGCTTTTGAGGGAGCCTTCGTGAACATC